GTGGGAGTCCCTTTGCTGCTCAGCGTGTCCCGCAGAGTTGTGTTTTCGCTGCCGTGGTTTGCGCGAGCTAATTCAGTGACTTCCTTACCGCGGCCATTTTCTTCCTCCTCTCATGACTCTTTTCAAAATTACCTTTCCTTGTGAGTGTTCTTTGATTCATTTCAATTGAATTCAATAGATATAGAGTGCCTACTACATTTAAAAGACAGAAGACATTAGATAATCAAAATGCCTTATAGTTATAATGCTTTGTGGTTTCCAAAACACTTTGAATATGCATTTTCTTATTTGATATTACCAATAACTCAGAAAGGTAGATAGTTCAGATAGATTTATTTCTCTTTTGTATGAGGAAATTGAGAGTTTAAAAGATTGTGACTTAACCCTGGTCACATAGCCAGTGAGTGACAGCCTAAGCATGAACCAGAGCATAAGCTTTAAGTTTAGTTCTCTTTTTAATTCTCCCACACTGCCTCTATGCGGTGACTAAGCTTACATTAATTTATGCAAAGGCCTGACCACAATGGGGATATGCTTAACTTATTCACTTAATATTTATCTTCATCATTTATCTTAAGTGCTTAAAGGACAGGGATAAGATCAGTTAAATGAGATCAAAACAGTTATAGGTCCATATGAATGCCTAGAAGGTGCTTTTCAATTATGATAGTGATGTGTATCAAAATGCTTATATATATATACGAGAGTGGTTATGATGTGTTTTTTCTTGTTTTATTGGCGGATCCATTGACTGCGACTTGAAAATATTAGAGACTGTGCTTACTGTAGTCAGTGTTAAAGATGAGCACATTAAGGATCTTTACTTACTATGCACTATTACATTGATTTTTTTACTTGTGATACAATGGATTATGTCTCTGTAACATCTTCCCCCATCTTACCCATAACTTCTAAAAGGTTCAGTGCCAGAGAGAACAGAACTGTATCTTTATTTTCTCATCACATCCTCTCTCAAATAGATAATACTTCCATTGCTCTCTTTCCAATTTGGCTTTGAGTCACTGCTGTGATTCTAGCTGTTGAAGAGGCTTTCAAGTTAGCAATTAGTATTCTGGTTAAGTAAAAATTGTTGTGAGGCTGCCATTTTTGTCAATGCAGCTTAGGTAGTTTTACTAAATCATTTATTAGGGTCATGTTGTCAGAGGCATATGACAATTGCATTTCACAAAACTTCCCTAAATATTGATACTTGAGATTTACTGGAAATTAAATCTACAATTATATACTCAGTTCTGAGGTTGGAGAAACCAATAATCTGTCAAGTTCAATAAAAATACATTTATGCTACTTTAGTCTGTCTTTACTATTTTTGCCTTACCTGATTAAATTTTGCTGTTGTGTTCATCAATAAATTCAAAGGAAATGTTCTAATTAGTTTCTGTCATAACTGGGCACTATCATAAGTTAGAATACTTTGGAAAACATGATAATCTATTGGGTAACACCTGCTCACTAGTAGGTATCAATTCTTTGCCTGGCTCTATTCCAGTCTCACTAACTGTGTCTAAATGTGTGAACTTCTTACCATCTGGACACTTCAATTTCCCTCTAAATTAAAAAAAAAGTCTTACCTGTGTTCTACCTAATGCAAAGAATTTTGAAAGATAATGGAAGGTCATTAAAATGATTATCACCAACATGTGCTATTTACTAGTGAAAATCGATAACTGTTTAAAAGTCATTGTCTTTAAAATATACTATTTTAAAATCATTGACTCTCTTAATGTACTTTATTGCTTAGTCTTAGAACTTTTATTTTTAGAACAGAGTATATTTAAAGACCAGTTTTACTGTTTGAATTTGACAGACATCTAATGAGCCTAAAAGAATGGTTTGTGGAGTACGCCAGTTAAAGGAGCTTGGAATCAACTTTCCACCAAGTCCAGGCTCTCCATGTTCATCTCTGCTGAGTGGAGATTTGCTTGAAGTTGACTGTTTTCTTCCTTCTGTGTCATCTGATTTCTAATTTGTGCTTGTCTTTTATAGCTAGAGACGGTGGGATGGCAACTTAACCTTCAGATGGCTCACTCTGCCCAAGCAAAACTAAAATCTCCTCAGGCTGTGTTACAGCTAGGCGTGAGCAATGAAGACTCAAAGGTAAGAAATGGGAGCTCACCGAAGTGATGAATACATCACTTTTTACTATTTCTTGTACATTATTGTTAGAAGGGTCTTTGCTCTCAGGATTGAAAATTTAAACACAGTTCAATTAAAAAACAACGATTAACAGGTCGACAGGTTTTGATGTTGGAGTGACATATCGCTTTGCTATTTATTTGAAGAAATAGCTTGTCTTGCAAGGTGCCTTTCTTTCAAGAACATAGTGCCTTCTTTTAAATTCTGCAATGGGAAAAATTGGTAGTAGCCATATAAAATTATGGTTTTAATGTTTTAGATATTTGTGGCTATTCCTGAGTGTTTTGTGTTTTAAGCTGAATATGGTAGATGGAATATTGTTGTTGTCCAGCCAGTGCCTGGGATATGAAGATGACATGATTTGTGTTTGTGTGTTTGCATTATGTGTGTGCATGTGTAAATCCCAGCTCTGGCAAAATAGAATTTTGGATTAGTTTTATACTGTGTGGTGATTTCTCCTTTGGTATTAGTTTCAGAAACCTTGAATGTATTATCAAAAGTTAAAGAGTTCTATGGAATAGTTTGTCTAACTGTACCATATAGAGAAACGCATATTTCAGATATCAGTGAGAGCTATTTTTTATATTTTTGGATTGTAATTGATTATCATTTTAAGACAGAGAAGGGGGAGTGACCCTATGTCCTCTAAATAAGTGAGACTTTCTCTCACTGTAAGACAGAAAAATAAAGGTGAGAATGAGGTAGGAAGATCTGAGGAAGGAGAGAGTAATGGAAGAAATGTTGTTATTTATAATATAATGGACATTGAAGGATGGGAATATTGCGACTTTTTGTTAGCACTTTCACTATTTATTATATCAGGCACATTCCTGTCTTCCTTATCTGGGACCAGTGCCTAGCCCAGGTTACATGTCTACAAAATTTTTAGGCAATTGAGTTGGGTCTTATATATAATCTGTTAACTTATTACAGTGTTCAAAAATATTTCATTTCACACATTTTCACCAGAAAGTAATATAAACTTAGTGGTTAAGAGTAAAACTGACTGATACATATGCTCTGCAATTTAATAGCAGTGTAACCTCAAATGAGTTACTTAATTTTTATGAGTGTCAGTTTTTTCATCTGTAAAATGGGCATCCTGTTATCTGTCTCACAGGGTTTTTGTGAAGATTAAATACCCAATGTATGTAAAGTGCTTAGCCTAATGCCTAGATCATGGTAAATGCTCAATAAATAGCTGGCTGCTACCATCTCTCTCATCATCAGTAAAACTTTCTTGGCTAATGAATAAATATCTCTTTGTTTAAACCAAAGCTATCATTCCTGATGAAATTAACCTTTGTTTTTCCTTTCCCTTGCATTTTTCCTTTTATTTCTTGATCATATTTTTCATATTTATTATTACTGGAAACTGGAGAGGCAAACGACAGTCTAAAAAGAGCTTTTTTTCTCCCATGAACAAGGGAAGGCATTCCTTTAGATTTAGGATAATAATCTGGAACTCACTGGTATAGACTGGGACTATGCCATGAGTGAAAGAAACCACGCATGTATCTACATACATACGTGCATTCATTCTCCAAGTAGCTATATACTTTCACTGTTGTATTTCTCTTGACTACCATATGTTAAATAGCTAAATGCAATTTATAGGTTGGAAGGCACTATTTTGACTATATATTGGATATGCTTTAAGCACCATGACGTTGGCAGTGCTTGACTTTGTCCTCCGAGTGACTTTATTGTGTTTTCAAAATATGTCTACATCTCTGTTATATTTTTAGGCAGTAGGAATGAATGAGTAATGCTTCTAGTAAAAGAGTCATGTTTTTAATTTGTATTATTTAAGAAATGTATACAGATGTGAATGAGATCCAACTCATTTGAGATAATGGTTTGAGTACATTTGTATTTTTGTGTGTGTTGCTATTCTGAAATTTTGGATGAACATTTGGTTACCCTTATAACTTGCAGAGCTAGAGAACCATTTTCATAATAGACAGATATTTGGGAAAAAGAGCAGCAGCACACAAATGTAAAGGACATTTTCTTTTTTTTTTTAAAGATTTTATTGGAGAATTGGGGGAGAGGAACAGCGTTGGGGAATCAGGGAAGGGGAACAGACAAGTTGCTGTCCTTTTGTTCTTCAGTCTAGTTGTGGATGTCGTTTCACTGGCCTATGTTGGTATTGTGATCATTGTGATCTTCCCAGGTGAGCCAGATTGGTTGCCTGTCACTGGATGGCCGCTTACTGCGGCTCTTGGCAGCTCACGCCAGTTGCTGGCCGCTCACGGTAGCTTATGGCAGCCCACTGCAGCCCCACTGCAGCCTACGCTGGCACCTCACGGATTACCAACTCCAGGTCGAGCTGTTGTTCACCATCTTAGCTGTAGAGGGGGCAGCATCACTGGCCCTCATGTGGGATCCGATCCGGCTGCCCTGCTGCCCAGAGCTGACGTCCCAAGCCAACTGTTAACCAACACGTCACTTGACCGGCCCAATATTTACATTTTTTATGTAGATTTAAGTGAACCTCTTTTTCTGTATTGTGTATCTCCCCTATAGCATTATGTGGATTTGGTCTGTTTCTTATATCTCCTAAGCAATAGACATCTAATGGAGTGTACAGCCACTGTCAACCTGGACAGAAAGTCTCCAGGTGATGTGATGTGCCCTAGCCGTAAAGAAACAGTTAACTACCACACCTTTGTTCCTCTCAGTGACATGTTGCCTGGAAGTTTTGCTTTTCTTTTGTTTACATTGTTTTTGTTTTTATGATCCAGTATTCTATTCTTTGTACTCTTATTACATCTGGTTGCTTGATGTTAATTGTTATGTAACCCCTGTTATTAAGGACCACACACTACTTTCCCTCAAACATTTGCTCTTTTCTGAAATGAGAATTCAGGAATTCTTGACAGGTTGGAATATTAGATAAAAAGAATAGGAGTACGGAGGATGTTTTAAAAACCAATTTTGTTAAAGGAAGGGAGAGCTATTATTAAAAGGAAGATTAAAAGTTAATCACTGGTCAGTTTATGATGCAAAGTACCATAAAGTACAATGTTATTCTTACAAAATTGGTATTTGTTTAAAACAGGAAGCATTAGGTACATTTAGGTAAAATTATTTTAAATATACATTTTACAGGGTAGTTATCCTGAAAATATGCATATATTGAAATAATTCTGAGATGATTAGAGGCAGTGCAAATTGTTAGAGAATATTTTGATGGTATTGACTTTTGAGCTGCTGAACTGAAAATTTACTGTAATTTACTGAAGAGCATGGTTTCTAAGAATCTCTTCTCATTCACTTCCAACATACACATGAAAAGTGTAGCCTGCAGTGAAGTTTTAATTGCTATCACATTTGATAACATTGTTGTACTGGTCTCCTTTCTCTTAGAACATTCTATCTCAAGGCTTTCCTGTTTTGCTACTAATTTTATCATGAAAACTGGATGATTGTAGTTTTTCCTACAGTATTTTGATATCCATTCTAGCTGTTTTCAGTTAGCCTTAGTGTTTGTCTATTGCATTTAACAAAGTGAGATTATTTTCCTGTTTCACAGATGCCTTAAAAAAGGAGTTTTAGGGATTTTTAATGTGTGGGTTTTGTTTTTTGTGTTTTTTTTTGGTTTATTTCATTAGGGGGCAGTAGAGCTCTTTGCTTACCTAACTTCTGGCATTCACAATGTTATTTGAAATAACATTCAAAATAATTTGTGAAAAGTCAGTAGTTGTGGGAAATGCTAAGTGTTTACACTTCCAATCTGTATATAACAATAGACTTGTTTCCATTAACAAAATCAATGCCTATTAATCAGATATGTACAGAACAAATAAATGAAATCATCATGATTTCAGTTTGTAAATTTGTATGTGATCATTTGCCAAAATGAAATTTATTAAAAACCTTCTACACTGTTAACTTTTTTGTTACATTCTGTCTCTTGTATTGATTTCTTTATAATAAAAGAGAATAAAATAATCCCCAAGATAGCTGAATGGCTTTACTAGTTTATAGTCAAACTAGTTCCAGGCTAATCATAGACAGTTGACATTTATTTATTTATAGAGAATAGCAGTTTTATATATAACAAATGTTGGTAATTTTGAATGACATTAAAGCTTTAACTTCGAATACCCTGAAAATACTAAAATATTTAAATTTCACTATTAATCTTGCATTATTGCATTTTCCACAGTAAATTTGTTGTTCAGGACAATTATGTTTTGTTCATAAGTGATTCTCAAATTTTTTTGTACATCTTTTAAGAAAGAACCCTGTGTTTCATTTTGTTTTCTTCTTTTGAAACAACTGGGTTGAAATCACCTTGCTAAGAGAACTTTCATTTATGTTCATGTTAAATTGGATTATGCTCAGGTTGCAGAAGGTACTTTCAGGATGGGTAATTATGATTTCAAATGAAGTTAGGACTTTCAATACCAATTTTTTGAGTTAGAGATCTTCATTTTTATTTTCATAACTTAGAACAAATTCTATGTAGAGTGAGAAGAAGCGGGGGAAGCCTTTTTTTGGTGCTTACTTTGTACTAGACACGGTATTACCTCCTTTAATATTTAAAACTCTCCACCAGGTATGAATTATTCGTATTATCCTTATTTTATAGATAGATGGAGAAATGGAAACACATGGAGGGTAAATTATTTTCCTACATTATACAACTAATAAACAGCAATATTATGGATTGAAATCAGACAATTTTATTTCAGAGTCCTATGCCATATTCATCGCTAGGATGCTCTATAATTGTGCTTATTTAATAATTTAGTGCTTGATCCTATAATATATCTATGTTCAAAGTATTAAAAGCTCTTCTAAAATGCAATGATTATATTACTGTTGTTTTTCATAAAAGTATAGTTATATGTACTCTAAATGTTATTTTCCTTTTTATTTGATTAAGTTGAAACAAGCTAAGACTTTAAATCAATGAGAGACACTAATATACACTTTTATATAGTAAGTAA